TTATTCAGTAAGAAGGCCATAGGCCCATAATACAGACAATGTTTGATTGCATGAACTACGCATGCCAAGGAAGTAGTCGATTTAAGTTTCTCTTAGCCGTTGGACTTTATATAGATATAAACATGTGTTATATACAACATCAAAGTTTTCTGATGAAATAATTTCAGTAAAAGATGTTACAGTTTGAAACTTGATATACTGTTTAAGATACATATTTCTTAGGGCTGAATAACGCTCACATACAAGTAAAACATGAAATTCATCTTCAATAAAAGGTATACCATTGTCTATACAATATTTACATAAGCGTTCAGTGTATGGGACATTTGTGTATCTCCCCAAGTCAATTGCAAGTTTAAACTTGCTACATCTGAAACGAGTCATACATATTCTCAGATGTACTGGTATGGGGAGTGTAAGATATTTTTCTACATTCAACAGGGATTTAAAATGTTTATAATAAAAAGTATCAGATATACTATTGATAGAACTACACCATGATTGTTGAAGGTTATCAAATAATCTTTGCTTAAAAAGATGAATAAATACCTTCACATTGCCAACATCTTGTGTTAACCATACATATCCAAAACCTAATTTAAACAAAATATTCTTAATGTGAGTAGCCCATGTGGTGCGACCAGAATGGTCCAGTGATTTGAGCATTAAATAACATTGGCGAGGCAGTCTGCGCTCGTCCAAACGCAGTAGCCTGCACCAATACTTGATGGCCCTTGTGGTATACACAAGTTGGAGAGGGGCTCTTCCGCACTCTCCTAAAACCATTGCATTGTTTGTTGTTTTACCTGTATTTAGAAACCATTTACACATTTTGTTCTGTACATCTTCAATAATTTTACAATATGAGATGCCCCATATTTCTGCGCCGTAACAGACAATAGGCACAATCATAGCATCAAATATCTTAAATAAATCTTGACAGGGTATATTACCAACTTTCTTTTGATATCTATATAATGTCATAATGGCCTTGTTACTCTGTGCAGCAAGAGTATTTAGTGCCTTAGTCCAAACAAGTTTGGGCGTGAACACAATACCCAAATATCTATAAAACGACACGGTTTCAATATATACACTATTAAATTTCCATTTTTCATAATGTCTAAGGGGTCCACCATTTCTGAATACCATAACTTTGGTTTTCTTCAAGTTTACCTTCATGCCTGTGGTATTGCAAAAATGTTCCAAGGCATTGATCTTCTTTTGTAAATTTAATGGTTCATCAGCAATAGATGACACGTCATCAGCAAACATAAGTGCATATATTGCTGGGCAGTCTTTAGTAATAAAGACAGTTTGTCCTCCATAATTTTCCATAAAATTTACAAGTTTATTTATGAATATTAAAAACATCTGAGGGCTGAGGATGCATCCTTGACGGGTACCTATATTACACTTAAAGTATTTGGATAACCCAGTAGGTGTTCTAACACAGGCACACAGTTTATTGTACATTGATGTAATAATAGACAGAAACTTTCCGCAGACACCAATATCAGCCAAACTCTGTAACAACATATTGTGATCAACATTATCAAAAGCTTTTGAGAAATCTACAAATAAGCAGTAGAACCTTCCTTTCTTTTTACATGCATACTTTTGGATAATGGCCTGTAGTGAAAATATATGATCTGTCGTGGAATAGTTGGGTCTAAATCCAGCTTGAGATTCGTCAATGATATTGTTATCATCACACCACCTCTGTAGTCTAGCATTAAGAATAGATGTAAATACTTTGCATATGGTATCAATGAGTGATATACCTCTATAATTGTTGGCATCATTCATATCACCAGACTTGAACAGAGGACAGATGATACTTTTCCCCCACACATCTGGAAAGTTACCACTCTCAAAGATTTTGTTAAATGTAACAACTAAAATTGGTGTAATTTGTTTCTCTGAAGACTTTAAAAATTCAGCAGCAATACCATCAGGCCCAGGGGATTTATTATTCCCAAGCTGTTTTATTTGACTTGATATTTCTTCTGCTAGAATAGGAATGTTAATTGTTAGATCATTATTGTCAGGGATATGGTACATACTGCTATCAAGTGCAAGATCCTGTCTAAAAAGAAGAGACATAAAATGGTTAGTCCATTGCTCAGTATTAATTGATTGAGTGACTGCATTAAATGGTTTACTATCCTTGAGCAGTTTCCAGAACAACTTTGGGTTGTCTCTTGCAGCTATCAGTTTTTCTCTCTGTGCTTCAAGAAATGAGTTTTTCTTTCTACTAAAAGCATTTTTAAACACTGATCTTAAGTGTCTAAAAAGTGAAAAATCTTCCCCATGATCTCTGTGAGCTCTCAGGGCTTTGTATTTGTCATGTTTAATTAATTCAAGTTCATCATCCCACCAGGGAGGCTGCTGATTTCTCCTGAAGTTAGAATTTAAACCATATACTTTTTTGGTGTGTTCTGCAGCTTCTTGATAATAACTGACTAAACAAGATACTGCTGTATTACAATTATTATTAGCTAGTTGTAAAATATAATCATAATGCTCTACTAATATACCCTCAAGCTTGTGCAAGAAGGTTTCTTTAGCACCTTCATTCCACACATATTTCTCCCAACTGCCTCCACCTTCCTTTTCCAGATTACAGTTGGAGTTACTCCTTGTATTACCTGGGGCTGGGGGTTGACTATATTTACCAGATGAGGTACCCTGAATATTGAGTGAGCAATATAAGGGGAAGTGATTGGAGTGATCCTGTGTACCAACCCCAAAGTTAGAGAAATATGGAAAGAGAGAAGAGGAGGCAATCATGTAATCCACAGCACTTGATCCATTATGAGTGAAACATGTGAATTCACCATTTGTATCATTAAACAATCTCCCATTCAATGTGTGAATACCAAAGGTCCTACACAATTCAACAAGTCTTTTGCCAAAATTATTATGTGTCACTGAGTCTCTGTTTTTTCTTGGCATATCAAATGTATCAGAGGGATAATCATCAACATCTCTCTGAATAAAGTCAATATTGTCATCCGGGATATAGTCAAGGAAGTCCTTTGTCCTTGCATTAAGATCACCAGCAAGAAATATATGCTTGTGTGGGTGTTCCCCAACAATAATGTTCAAGTAGTTTTCAAGATGAGTAAATCCATCACTATCTATATTCTCATTAACTGGTGAATTTTCGGGTGAGATATAAGTAAATATCAAAACACAGTCAGAGTCCCATGATAAACTTGATGTTTTGAATAAAAGTACAACAGTATTTTCAAAATTATCATAAAGCCTACATAACAGTCCACTATCTAGCCAATGAGAGCGTATCAAAACAGTGATACCACCACTATATAGCCCGAACGTGTGTGTCTTGGGACGGACACAGTTTAGCGCACGAAAACCTGACAAGAAGTCCGAGAATTCATCGGACCGTCTCACAAATGACTCACAAAACGCGATCAAGTCAAAATGTTCACAAAGACTTTTTACCTGAGATGTCGAGTTTTCATATTTTCGCAGTCCTTCTATATTCCACGAGAGAATATCAAATGTTGGGCCGTGGCCGTCACATCACTTACCAAAATTGTCAACATTGGGAGTTAACTCCCCTGAAGGAGGTGTGTCTCGGTTTGTGTTGCTTCCGGGTCCAAACAAATCACTCCATGAACGATCGCGAAAAGAGGGCCTTGCATCACGATGCGTACCCCCACCTGTAGACACCTTCTTCACACACTTGTCTTGTCGGTCGTACATATATACCTGCCCTTCCACAATAAGCTTGTTAACACGTATCTTAGGTCGTTTCCCGCTGTCTCTGGCTTCTTGAAAGTAGGTAGACAGTGCGCGTCTATCCTCTCGTATTTTCTGTGGGAAATCCTCTGTTACACGTGATCGGTGATTTCTATCTTGTTGTTCCCGTCCTCTCTTGAAAATATCACTCTTGTCTTTTGTCAGTAGGAATTTAGCTATGATAGGAGAATCACTTTTGCCAGGGTTGAGGCGGTGAGCACGAATAATAACAATATCATTTGCCTTCTCCATGTGTAACTCGTCGCGCAGAAACTCTCTCACGTTTGACTCGGACTGATCCCATGTTTCGCCCCTCTCTCCAGATATTCCATGGAATATTAAGTTGTTTCGCCGCTCACGACACTCTTGATCCTCGAGTTTTTCTTCCAAACTAGACAGAGAAAGTCTCAGTTGTGTATTTTCCTTGAAACTCTCAGGAACGAAGCAGCCGAACACAGTCACCCATCCACTTTACGATTCCGACTTTATTATAAACATGTGTTTATGATGTACTATAAAATAGTGATGATGTCGTATCCTGATAGGTGAGTCTATCCTGCCCCTTCACAAGCACACGCAACAGTAAGTCAATTGTTCACCTGAACAAACGCTGGAACATGTCACAAGTCAAAAAACGTCAATTCCAGCGGACATCTTGGCCACTGATGCGTCAAACTTGGAAATATCTCCCACATGTCTGCCATAAAACATGAGGGCAGAAGGCACGAAGTCGGCACAAGAGCCGATATTTGGCAGTTATATCTAATTATCTCAAATATATTTCAAGTCAGTTTTCAGTTCAGTTTTGCAAATGTCCTTGTGTTAAGGTGTAAGGTACAGTATACAATGAGAGTCAAAAATCAAACTATACTTCTGAACATACTCAGTGATATATCTCACACTCTACAGACATATGTATGAAAATAACACCACAATGTCAGTGTGAACTGATGGCTGTAACAACACACTGAACGTTAACCCATCAGGGCTCAACACAACTTTCTCATTCATATCAGGAATTATAAGCGCTACCTGGTAACATTTAACTATCTTAAAGAAAAACGCAAAACCCATCTTGTTGGTGGGAGATTTGACAATAGTCCCCTGCAGGCAACCACAGCTGTTGCCAATTGGAAGCGATTTTTATTTTTGCTTCAAACTACAAGGGTTAAGTAGTTCGAGATCGGACTACACTGACAGAAACAAGGATGTTTAATTTGATTCCAATAGTCAAGTGAACGCGTCTGCATCATTTGGACGTCATTTGTGGTAAGTACAAATTAGTCTCTCATACAAACGCTGAAACAAGAAATATCCCAAAACACACAAGCAAACAATACTTTAGAAATCATAAATCGACACCCCAAACATTATTCTTCAGTAAAACATGTTTATGTGTAATCGTAGCTAAGTCGCCAGACAAATTATCAGTGATTTAGCGGGATCATTCCTGTTTGTAAATAAGTTGATTATGTACGCAATAGCAAAAGGCTTATCATTGTATTACCAGCTCATTAATTTATAATTATTGTTACTGTAATATTAAGGTTTTACCATTTTCATTTGTGAATGCCAATACTGTAAGGAAACGAGGGGTACGAGGTTAGAATAGATCCCCAAGCAGCTTTTATGTCAGTCAGATGATACTCAGATGAATCGGCCGGTTAGTCACCGTACCCCGACCGTATATATTGTTGCTCATGATATCAATTACTGACTTATCTGGTCCAGTTTCGATTATTTACAGTCCACCGTCATATAGCTGGAATATTGCTGAATGCGGCGTTAAACAAAACAAACGAGCACAATTGTTACTAAACTTATTTGTATAGTAAATTGTGGTAAGCAGGATGCTCCATGCCTTGATTGAGTCTTTATATGATTTCAAATATGCCATCCATAATAGAGTTGAACCAGTTAGTTTGTGTTATAAACAGGTCAGATCTATTTATTTATGCTAAGTTCATTATGTGCACCAACCACGTTGTCTTTTAAAGTCTATGTTTGTTTACTCTTGCAAAAGTACCCGGGAAAATCTGTAACTGATCACGCTAAATGCTCCAGTTTTATCATGCAAAATGCTCCAACTCTATTGAGAAAGGCCAATGGAAACAACTTCATATAACTTTATTAATGACAGAATATATTTCCCAGTTATATGGTTCAAGCACAGGGGTATTGTATCTACATTCCACGTACTCAAAACTACAAACTTCTCTTTAAAGGACTTCTGTTCCGACATACTATATCTGGGCATTTTCTTTAATCCAAGTTTATGCAAACATGATGTATTTCATTCCTTATGTTGGACCATGGCGACCCATCAATGTAATTCGATGTAATTCACCTTCCTTAACTTGGCCATAATCCACAAGTAGATATTACCAGATAAGCAACGATTATGAATCTAGCTCAACAAACTGACAGTGGTTACATCTGAATTAAAACATCCCATCAACATATCTTTTCAGAACATATAAAACATCAACGTTAGAGAATGAACAGTTTCGAATTTCTGCCGAATCAGATTCCATAGGGCATCACAGCTACTACAACAATGGCAAGTCTACAACCGTCACGGCTCATATTCAAATGTGTATGCTACATCCTACTGATAGCAATCGTTTATGGTCAGGGTTGTCCCCCTTGCAATTGTACCTACGACCATCATCAAGTATATGTGAACTGCTCCAACCGGAATCTTACAAGCGTTCCCAAGGGTTTACCAACATCAACCACAATGCTATTTCTCAATGGAAACAACATAAAGACAATAGGACCAAAAGCATTTTCAACAATGAGAAATCTTCAATATCTATATATTGAGAGAAACTCTCTTGTTAGCCTACATGAATTGGCCTTTCATGGTCTTGACAACCTCGTCAATCTGAGCTTAAAACTCAACGACCTCAAACTAAATTCAAAAACCTACAAAACCAATCTCTTCAAGCCACTACATAAACTTCAGGTTCTTAACATACAGTTCAATCAGATGACAACATGGCCTGGAGATGACAGTCAACGTATAGCCTACCCTGATGCCTCGTTTCAACATCTGTCTCGACTTACTCACCTTTACATCGATGGTCGTCCAACAGACTTTGGACCAGGATTTGCCAAACTTTTCAAGCTTTCTCTTCTCGCCTTCACGCCATACACTAACTATTGCAAACTGACTTTACAAAACTCAACCTTTATAAACGTACCCAATGTGGAATATCTCTACATGACCTACTGCCAAATCAGAGAAGCAGAACCATTAACATTTTCTCCTTTTTATCGTATCCATACACTTGACGTGTCACAAAATTGGGAATTGGGATTTCCTGAATTTGCTAAAGCAACGTATGGGCTCCGTGATTCCTCCATACAAATCCTGAAAATGAACGGTATTTCTCCATTATCTGGATCTTGTTATCAACTGCGGAGAAACGATTTTGTTCACTTAAAGAATACCTCACTGCGGGAACTTCACATTTCTGGCAATGGACTCATTGACTTCGAAAAAGGAACCATTTTGAACTTACCTGAAACTCTACAGATGCTGGTGGCCAGATGGAATAGGTTTTACCTTGGTCAATACTTGTTGGAAATGTCTCAAGGAAAGTCACTCCGAATTCTGGATATCTCACACATGAAAGGATTGGCGAGTAGAGACGTCAGACAAGATAACCCTTCCACTCATGTGTCAGTACCCAGTATGTTCCCTTTTCCACCAAACCTTCAAGTCTTAAAATTATCATTCTGTAGCCTGAAATTAAGCCTCACTGGTGATTATCTGATGAAAAACGATTTGAGAAGCATTACTCTGAATGGTAATTTGATTGATTGTGTTATGGGACAGACTCATGGTTTTGAAAACGTTGAACATTTTGATTTCTCAAACAATATCTTGGAGTGGCACGATTCAAGTTTCTATGGTATTGACAATCGTGTGAAATATCTCAACCTTTCCAGAAACTTTCTTGGAAATATGATAGATGAAGATGACAAGGGTAATACTTTCAGTCAACTGGTTAACTTGACAGATTTGGATATATCTCAAAACAGAATCAAATACTTACCAAAGGCTATTTTTAGAAATCTTACAAATATACAATATCTCAGAATTAATAACAACAGTATAAGAACAATTGATGCTCAAATCAAACACTTGTCGCATCTTAAATTATTTGACGTAAGCCATAATGGCCTCCTCAAAATGCCTGTAAACATTCTTCAAGAACTGGACACATTATCACATGTTTCTGTCCGTCTGAGAGGAAACCCACTTACCTGCATATGCTCTTCCCTCGAATCCCTTCGCTGGATGAACAGACTTGCTGATAACATCGAAGACATGGAATCAATTACGTGTATAATGAAAAATGGGAAGATCAACAATTTGAAAAACCTAGATTCCATAATTATCAATTTGGATAAAGAATGCCGTTCAAGTGGTCTTACTACTGTCATGACAATGTCTATTCTCTTGATAATAATGGTCGGAATAGGATTAGGAGCAGGGTATCGTCATAGGTGGAAACTGAAATACCTGTACTATGTCGGGAGAAGAAAGTATCGGGAACTGGAGAATACTGACCAAGATGACCAGGAGTACCAATATGATGCCTTTGTGTCATATGCAGACACAGACAGATGCTTGGTTATAGAGGGAATGATATCGGAACTGGAAGACAAAGCTGGACTTCGATTGTGCATTCATCATCGGGACTTTCTTCCAGGGGAGGTTATTGCTTCAAACATTGTCAACGCAATACAGAACAGCCGCAAAACCTTGATTGTTTTGTCTCCCGCTTTCCTGAAGAGTCACTGGTGTGATTTTGAGTACAACATGGCGCGGATGGAGGGTGTCTCCAGGAGACAGAACATCGTGCTGGTGGTGCTGTATGAGCCTGTTGACATGAAGGATCTACCCAAGGACATGGCAGTCATGTTGTCCACCAACTGTTACTTGGAGTACAACACAGATGTGTATGGCAGTGTTGTATTCTGGAACAGTTTACGTGAATCTATTACCACTGTTAATAAAATCGACTGAAACACAGCAGATATAACTCCTTGATTGAATATAGATTTAGCCATATATTTATGGTGTGCCAAGGCAGTTTATATAGTGTTCAAATACATCACGATCTATACTGTGACACCTTCTTAAATTAAAGAGCTTTTTTTACCACAACCGACAGTGTTGTCGATCCCTGTCTATGTATTAACTTGCAGCTTCTAATTCGGTGCATGTGTTTCCTTGTAGATTTGGTCCGCCACTATGCTTTTAGATTTCGATACTGCACCCAACTGTAATACAGGTTACTTGCAATGAGGAAATACAGCTAACAATACTTTTTTATTATTTTTATGAATTATGTTATGCATATTTGTGATATGATAACTATGAGTATTAATACTGTTTTAAATAAACTGTGTGCACACAATTATTAAACAGATATTATTCTTGAGATGCTGAGTTTGTTATTTGGCCCTGGCGAAGGATGCAAAACAATCATTGTAGTCCACACACATTGCAGATGTTTTGTTCATTGTTGTTAGAAAATAAATACAAACAAAATCTGTAATTCTTCATGGCAGCGGCTCACATCCATTCAACACAAAAGAACCATTAACTGCAATCTACGCCTTTGTGTACGATCGAGTTATTCTGTAAACATAACAACCTTGAGGGAACCTGGAACTTTTGTACTAAATAGAAGTATATCTGCCTGTACTTCAATACATACACCCATTTTCACTGAAGGAAAGAACTAAACAATTATATTTTTTGTCATTCTTTTGTAAAATCCGAGGCATAACTAATTTGTTTTAATTGAAATGAAGCTCGACACACCCTTGTACCTTGGAGGTGTAGTTAAAGGTCAAAGGTCAAAGAGCAGCACCTGCTTCCGAGTGTGAAATCGGTTCCTCCGGAACGTTTCGTTAAATCTCCATCATCATCATCATCATCATCAACACCTGCGTTGGGAGATAGCAGTGCCCTTTGTGTGTGTCTTAGTAAATTACTACTGGTTTCCTTCATTGTCTTTTGGCCCATTATTCATCCAAGCTGCAGTTTCTTTAAGTTTAACTCATTGATTCAATAGACCCATGTTAAATGTAAATACATCGGGAAACTGACTTTACATTAACTATCATTTTCTACTGAAAATAGGATTATTTGCATAATCTTTGTGTTATTCATATTTTAACAATCAATTCAAAGTTGCAGGTAGACGAGTGAACAGTAAGGGTAATTCAGTTCGTTGTTCTGTGAAATGTTTAACTGCTTAATTGCTTCTCTCAAGAGTATTTTATTATATGTAGTACTACCACATTCTTAGTTATACAAGTTCCTCTGTACCGAAATCTGTCGAAACCACGCATTTGTGCTATCAGCTTTTCACTTGACTTTAAAACCCGAATACATGTTCATTCCTCTTTTGTACTGTCCGCAGAAAGAGGGTCAAGCAAATGTTTGATTGTTGTTTAACGCCGAACTTAGCAACGTTCCAGTTATATGACGGCGGTCTGTAAAAAATCGAGCCTTGACCAGACAATCCAATGATTGATATCAGGAGCATCGATATACGCAGTTTGCAAATGATGACATGCAACAACTAAGTCAGCCAGCCTGACCACCCGACCCCGTGAGTCGCCTCTTACGACAAGCATAGTCGACTCTTACGGCACGCATGGGTTGTTGAAGACCTATTCTTCCCCGGATCTTCACAGATCCCAGCAAATGTACTTCAAAATCCCTGTTACAAAGATGAACTATATTCCTCGATATAATTAAAGAAGGACTATCGTTATATTCACATAACGTCTTTGAGACAAGTGGAATTAATACCGTGTGGGTTCTCAAAAACCTCATTCCGAGATTGATAAGATTTATGTGAAATGTGGGGATTGGATGTATAGGCATCCCCATGGGCACCAATTGTGCTCCCCTTCCTGATCTGTTTCTTTATGCGTGTGAATCAGAATTTCTGCTCGGATTAGCATACTCTTAAGACAATTTCTATAGACACACCTGTGTTTAAATACATCACGATCTAAACAGTCACACCTTCCTATTTTAAAGTGCTTCTTTTTACCACAGCCGACAGTGTGTGTCTATGTATTAACTTGCATCTTCGACATCTGTTCATAATTTACTTGTAGATTTGTTCCGCCACTATGCTTTTAGTGTTTGAGTGAGTGAGTGAGTGAGTATGGTTTTACGCCGCTTTTAGCAATATTCCAGCAATATCACGGCGGGGGACACCAGAAATGGGCTTCACACATTGTACCCATGTCGGGATTCGAACCCGGGTCTTCGGCGTGACGAGCGAACGCTTTAACCACTAGGCTACCCGACCGCCCCTTTTAGTGTTTGAAACTACAAAAGCCTAATGATGCCACTTTGGTGGCATTAAGATATATTTTTTAATCAAACGTTTCAATGATTTTCTCGTTACTTCGATTATTTTCTCGTTTTTTCAGGTTTTTTTCTCGAAATAACGAGTTTTGTCTCATTACTTCCAATATTTTCTCGTTATTTCAAGTTTATGTCCAAAACTCGAAATTTCGATTTTTTTTCTCGATTATGTTTTTCTTATTAAGATTATTTTCTCATTATTTCAATTATTAACTCGTTGCTTCGAGTTTTCTCTCGAAATTACGAGTTGTTTTTCGTTGCTTCTATCAATTTCTCGTTATTTCAGGTTCATTTTTATAACTCGAAATTTCGAGTTTATTCATTAGGCTTTCGTACGATACTGCACCCAACTGTAACACAGATTACTTGCAATGAGCAAATATAGCTTATTACTCATTTTATTTTTTTATGAATAATGTTTTATGCACATTTGTGATATGATCACTATGAATCTTAATAGTGTTCTAAATAAACTCTGTATACAACAACACAAAAGAACCATGAGCTACAATCTTTAGAATCTAATTAAGAACTGACAATTAGGGATCCTGGGACATTTGTAATAAACAGAAATATTTCTTGTGCTTCAAAACATACACTGATTTTAACTGAAAGTGGGAACCAAACGATTTTATTTTTTCACATTCTTTTGTAAATCCGTGGCATAACTATTTTGTTTTAAATGAAACACATCCTTGAACCACGGACGCGCAGTTAAAGGTCAAATATCAAATGTTAAATAGGTCAATGCCTGTTTCCGAGTATGAAATCTGTTCCTCCGGAGGGTTTCATAAAACATAAGTCATCATCATCATCATCATCATCATCCATACCTGCGCTGGAAAATAGTGTCCTTTGTGTGTGTCTGAGAATATTACTTCAGGTTTCTTTCATTGTCTTTTGTCAGTTTCAGGAGTGAGTGAGTGAGTATGGTTTTTACCCTTATTCCAGCAATATCACGGCGGGGGACACCAGAAATGGGCTTTACACATTGTACCCATGTCGGGAATCGAACCCTGATCTTCGGCGTGACGAGCAAACGCTTTTACGTCTAGGCTACCCGACCGCCCTGCCAGTTTCAGGAAACTGACCTTACATTAACTATCATATTCTACTGATTATAGGATGTAATTGCATACACGTTGCGTTATTTTTTTTATTAACAATCAATTCAAAGTTGCAGGTGCACGAGTAAACAGTCGTTTGTGAGGGTAATTCAACTGGTTGTAGTGTGAAATGTTTAACTGCTTAATTGCTTCTCTGAAGATTGTTTTATTACATGCAGTACCACCGCATTCTTAGTCATACAAGTTCCTGTGTACCGAAATCTGCCAAAACTACGCATTTGTGCTATCAGCTTTTCACTTGACTTTAAAACCCGAATACATGTTCATTCCTCTTTCTTACTGGATTCCAAAGTTCCATAAAAATCCGTAGAAAGAGGGTCCAGCAAGTGTACTTCCAAATCCCGGTCACAAAGATGAACCATGATCCTAAATACATGCAAGGAAGGACTATCTTTATATTCACATAACGTATTTGAGACAAGTGGAATTAATACCGTGTGGATTCTCAAAAACTTCATTCCCAGATTGATAACTTTGGAATGTGATAATTTAGGGATTGGATATTGAGGCATCCCAATGGGCACCAATTGTGCTCCTCTTCTTGGTCTGTTTTTTTTTTTATATACATATGAATCGGAATTTCTTCTCGGATTAGCATAATCAAAATTGGGGAATTTGGCCAAAGAGTTTAACTTAAGCTTCAGGTATATTCATGATCTGATTAATAGAAGCAACAAATCTATGCTGAAAGTACGATTCCAACTGTCCGATGAGCATATGTTTATGAATCACTATCATATAGTGATGATACCACGTGTTTGTGAAAAGGTGTTCCTTCAGTAATGATCAAATAGCCAATTACCTTCCACTAATTTAGCCACCGGAACTAAACATAAAAGAGACGAGTGAAACCGTCTCCTCTGTTTCCTATTTAGATTAATGCATCGAGATTCAGAGAGACATAAATATCCATAGGACTGTATGACAAGAGGGATGATTTCAACTTTCCAATAGCCAACTTTCCCTTTATGTCGAGCAGTATTCCAGTAGCTCCAACCTTTGGTGTCTACATTTCACATTCTGAGGTGCAATCGAGCATGCACTTTCTACCAAGATTTTAAAGATTGTCATACGACTCTTGCTCAAAACTCACCAAAGGGTGCTGTGCCACTGGTAATCCTGATGGAGATGAAGCACAGAAGATAAAGCACTACGTTCTGTGTTAATAGCATTGTATCCACCTCCAAATTCATATAACTGTCACAGGAAATCAAGCATAACACTCTCATCTGGTCAAAATGGATCTATGTTCAGGTCTTGGCAATAATGCATGTGCTTAACTTAGTAAGACTTGTATTTTTGCTGAGTACAACCTCTCCAAGGTTCATGATAATGTTAATCGTGTCATGAGAAAAACCCTGTCTTTCCAAACAACACCTGATAAATGCAACACCATCAGATGCATTTTCTTGTGTAGAGGATGAAGAGCCTCCGCTATGTAGGGCATCTGTAGTGATCTCTGTCCTTTCAGAATCAGACGAGGTGGCGATATCAACATTCGCAACACTATTGGATACCAGGTATGTGTGGAATACCTCGGCAATACCATCAGACCTTCAGCTGTCTTCACGTATTTTTGGATACACTCGCTCCAATGAGCTGAAAGGAGGAAAGGCATAAACGCTTCAGAGCGATCTTAGCACTAAGACTATCATAAGTCTATGTTAAAGAATGGGACTTCGTCTGCAGGAAATGTGTCAGTTATTGCTTTAAGGGGTTTGTGAAGCATCCATTCTGTTGCATCATTAAAATATTTGTTTACCCGATCAGCTTCAAAATTGAGAACCCCTGGTAAATGAACCGCTAACATCCATATTTTGTTTTCCTTTGCTAACAAACAAATCTGGTTAGATATCTGACTACAAATTGAGATTTTTTTCCACCCATGTGGTTAATGTAAGCTACTGTAGTATCATTGTCAATTCAAAGTCTTAAATGTCGACATGGCAACACATTCAGGAAACATTTGATGCCAAAGAAGACTGCCTGAAGTTTAAGATATGTAATGTTGCTCCGAAACTCAATATCGCTGAGTTACCATCTGCCATCTTTTTTCGGATTGTTCACTGCACCCTAATCTAGTCCTGAAGCATCAGTGGTGAGTGTTATTGAAGGCAAAGGTCTGGATATTGGAGCACCACAACACTTACTGTTGTCTTCCCACCAACCTAGGTGACGTATACCTGCGTTCATCTTCCCGAGGCAAGTGAGTTAACTGAGTATAAAAGTCCAGTTTCCACCCTTGCCGAACTAGGCTGGTATTATGGAGTTAGATTTTGGCTGGACTAACGAGTCTATGCGTAGTCCAATCAAAATCGCGCACAGAAATCGAAATCCGGTTCGTAGAGTGTCATGCAGATTTCGGTCGACTGCAGGATTTGCAAAGCATGTGCACCGCTAACTCGTTGTCAGCAGATATTTTCTAAATCTTTTCATGTTTTCAATGAAGGGGCTCACGTGATTTGATGCACTTCGCAATGTAAGATTCGTTTTATCACAATATAGATCTTGATTATCGATCAGATCGTCTTGACTGGGCGCCACCGTTTTGTTTGAAACAAATGCAAGTGATACGAGAGGTTGAATCTGATTGGTCAATAGGAGAGGCATAGAAAGGACATAACTTTTAAAAGCCACTGGTGGCGCTACGATCGAGCCAAGGAATTACAGCCTAGTTCGGCAAGGGTGGAAAATGGACTTTCAAAGTCAGTTAACGCCCTTGTCTCGGGAAGATGACCTGCGTTGGGAATAGTCATAGAAACACTAAAATCCCCTCTTACTGCTTTCGTCGACATATTTTGCAAGTGTCTGAAACATGGGTCGCTAGTTTAAAACTAGTGCCGTAAAGCTCGAGATAGCTGCTTTCTGACTGACAAATGTCGACTTCTTGTCATGCATTTCATTAGTCGGTCAAAGTTCGAATTTAATGAGATTGCAGTCAATGTGAGCATACGATCGTTCATTCCAGATGCAACTGAACTGCACTCTTGGAAGTTGAAAATGTAAAGTTTTATCTGTTAATATCTGCGTGAGCCCTCAGGAATGAGGCCGTTTACTTACAAACAAACACACAGTACCAGCGCTATTCCCTATGTTGTCAATGGTAGGAGAAGAAATTAACAGCATGGTTTGCACGTGCGAAATATGATTTTCATGTTCAGTTGACATGAAAGATGTCTTCTATTTTTTCGTTCAGGTACAGGTCGAGCTTTGCGGTGTTTGTAGACCAGTGTTTAGGCGTGGCTTAAAGATAACAAGAAGGCTGATTGGATATGTAATTGTGACATTTATTAAATTCGGCTTCCAACACAAAATCTTCCTCAGATTAACATTACAATAACATGTCATAACTCTTTTATGCAATGACGTCACTCCTGTGTGCAATGACGTAAACAGACAATAACGACACATAAGATGTACTGTGTAGCCCCAAGAAACAATACTCTACAACTGAACTTTCAATATTAGCCATAAGGTTGGAAAAAATTGTAAGATGTAATTGTAACTGCATTAGAGCATTATTCTTGATGATCGGTCAGTTGTAACGATATATAAAAAAACAATACGTTATGACGTCATCGGTTGTTCATGACGTCATAAAATTAAGTTTCAATGAAGATTGGTAGGTCATGTTCTTCGCACGCACACGCACACACGCACACCACTCCGACAGAGACACATACATACACGCCAGACATCATACACACCCAAAATAAAATTATTTATTCACTTGGGTATTAACCTCACACCCGTGCTCGTGGGTTCACCAAAGTGAAAAATGTCTGAGACCCCCATCACTTCGAACTGTCCTCTCACATTAAGCTGACATGCCTTGATATAACTTGAATACTGTTAAAAGCGGCGGTAAACCCAACACCCTCACTCACTCACTCTCATTTACTTGGGACAAATACTTCGTAATTCCTCAAAGCTCTTTGGTTATTTGAAAGTAAGGACCGTGTCTTACCACCTACTACACTACTGCACAGGTGAATAACAAACTTCGTATATGCCGAAATCGGCAATAACTCATTCGATTCTTAACCAATTGATGGTAGTTACTGCTACCACAATAATAGCAAACTTCGTATATACCGAATTGTCGGCAAACATGAAGTCGATTCTCAGTCTATGTGTGGTACTGACATCTATTTCTATTAAAATAACTTTGTATATAACAAATTGCATTCGACCCGTGAAGATCCGGGTTATAATAGGTCTTCAGCAACCCATGCTTGCTGTAAAAGACGTCTATGCTTTTCATAAGAGGCGACTAGTGGGATCGGGTGGTCAGCATCGCTGATTTGGTTGATGCATGTCATCGTATCCCAATTGAATGTATTGATGCTGATGATATCAATCACTGGATTGTCTGATCCAGATTTGATTAATTACAGATATCCGTCATATAGCTGTAATATTGCTGTGTGCGGCGTTAAACAACATTTTAACAAAAACAAATTGAATTCAGGAGTTGACAGAATATTGATGGCATATATTCCTGTTTATTTATCACGGGCAATTCTAACATACATCAACTAAAATCTAAACATCCTGCAGGGATGTAATTTCATCCTGTGTCTCCCATAACAACAAGCGGTCTCACATAGTTATACTTCAGTAATGACGAGACAGGAAGTACGTCACCGCCTGCACACTGTAACAGGAACGTGAGAATGGTGCACGATGTAGTCGCTGACACTGCCGAGAAGCGTCCTCCGTATCTTCCCCACCCCACGCGCTCCAGTGACGATCAGGCTGGCGTTTTCTTCATCGGCAATACGCACGATTACCTCCCCTGGACTGCCGATCACGCTCTTCACCTTGCCTGTCATCTGAAAATAAACAGAGTGAGCGAGTTGGGTTTAACGCCGCTTTTAACAGTATTCCAGTCATAGCACGGCGTGTCAGCTTAATGTGGGAGGAAAGGCCGAAGTGATGCAGGTCTCAAACGTTTACCACTTCGGTGAAACCCAAGAGCACGGGTTGGTGCTGACAAACCTAGAAACATAATCGAGGCGAACCGGGATTCGAACCTACGATCATAGGTTTCTGGCTTTCCCAAGGGACGCAACTCTGCACAGCGAATCGCGGCGCCTCAGACGACTGGGTCAACGTGCCCCGAAAACAAACAGAACCATAGGTCAAGCATGTGCTAATCAACTGTGGGATTTCAACCAAACGCTCATAAACAAAAGCAGCGGTGATATACGTTTTACTAATATACTGTGACAAACAAACAAACACACAAACTGACGTCCTTAAAGAGGCTGTATCTTTATCTCATTTATCTCTGTTTGATATCTCATATAAGAAATACACGAACTCTTGGTCGTTGTTTGTCGTATAATAAAACACTGCAGGGAGAAAAAACATTCTGGGTTGCTCCCCACATGGTTTATTCTCCCTGCAGCGTTTTATTGTACGATAAACAACTCCCAATCGTCGTTCTTCAGAACAACCCTTTACTGTTATGTCTGTATCATATTTTGCTGTCCATCCCACCCCCATTTTATGTAACAGTGCGTAATGTACCCCGCCCCCACCCGTAAAAGGTTACATGTAAGAGTTTATCATTACACTCCTACCCATAATAAACTAAACAATCCCAAAATAATGTTTGTTTGTTTGTTTGTTTGTTTATTGGTCGCACTCAGCAATATTACAGCTATATGACGGCGGTCTGTAATATAATCGAGTCTGGACCAGAAATCCAGTGAGTGACATCATGAGCATCGATCCACGCAATTGGGATCGATGACATGTATCAACCAGATCCCGTTAGTCGCCTTTTACGACCAGCATATTCGCCTTCGTCGGCAAGTATGGGTTGCTGAAGACCTATTCTACCCCGGAATCTTCACAATGTACATTTGTGATCATTTTTGGAAACGATTCAACTAAAACTAAAACTAAAAATTTATTTTGAATGAAAATTATTTGGATTTTGGGGTTGAATATAAATATCATCTTCCTGATTGAAACCACATGTCTCAACAACTCTCTCTGATACATATTGGCAATCTTGGACCACGGATATTTCAAATTCTTCACATGTCGAGTCCACATGTTTTAAAAGTTGACCATAAACTTGAAACATAATTAATAAACATTCTACTCCCGTTATCCTCTAAATTATTATTCTTTGGGGCCCCTTGTCACCGCCGGCCAATAGAAACTTGAAGACGGAATGGAACTCCCTTGAATCAACGTTTATGCAAATTGTGTGATAGTTATGACATTGGAGACGAATTCCACTGTATTCTTAGATGTAAATATTTCAATGAACAAAGGGCAATGTACGTATACATTCCAAAACACTATTCCAAAAGACCAAATATGTAACAACAACAGCAATTATTTAACTGCCATAATATATCTGTCCTAAAGAAGCTATGTAAATGTGTTAACATTTTAATGAAAATTGTAAAAACTCCAGGTAAACGTCTGTCTGACGCCATGCATAAAACTGTTTGTACCTCATCAGGTGATGCACTCGAAATAGAGTGCTATTCTATTCTGACATCTCGTTGTCATTTTTCCCCCCACTTCCCCCAACAATACTTTCAAGAATCTACAGTTTTCAAGAACATGTATGCCAGCAAGATAGATTTTACGTCCGTTTCCTAAGGTTGATGCAAAAACATGGAATTGTTGAAAATGTTTCGGTAAATCTGATTTTTCTTTCCGCTTATAAGACAGGTAAAACACACTGTTCCCCGGATTTGTCCCTCATAAAACTTTAAACTCTTACGGTTGGTGTTCAAGGGTGTTCAGTCTTGCATGGAGGACGTGGTCTCGCTCTCGCCCCTGCCATCGAATTTGTTTTAAACCTCTACAATTGTTTCACTTGAAGGTACTACCCCATTGTATTTTATTCTTAATGGTATTTCTTACATTTAGACAGCTTACAAGCTGGATAAAACACTCTTCCTCGGGCATGGTTGAGAACGTAGACACTTTGGACTGGGGAAATCGTTTGGGCTTTCGGCTCGCGAGATTTCCCCTCACTATCGTGATTACAATCTCAATCAAGCCCTTGGAATCGTGTTTTTATCCGGTACATAAAAGTTAAATTGACCGCTCCTGGAATGCACGTGTATAAACCCCTTCCCTTCCAAAACACGACCCTTGAAGATCCGGGGAGAGACAAGGTCTTGAGCAATCCATGCTTGCCGTAAAAGGCGACTATGCTTGTAGCAAGAGGCGAATAACAGGATCGGGTGGTCAGGCTCGCTGACTTGGTTGATGAATGTCATCAATCCCAATTGCGTAGATCGATGCTCATGGTGTCAATCACTGGATTGTCTGGTCCAGACTCGACTATTTTACAGACCGCCGTCATATAGCTGGAATATTGCTGAGTGCGGCGTTAAACAACAACCAAACATTCCAATACATAAACTGACCGATTCCCGGACAACCACAAACACACACGCACACACACACACATACGCACACGCACACGCACACGCACACGCACACGCACACGCACACTTACCCCGGCGTCAGTGAGCAGGGCGCTGAATCCCTCCAGCAGCTTGTTCTTCTTCTTTTGTTCCTGCTCCATCTGTTCCACCACCTGCTTGATGTCCGGACGGGCATGGCCTGCAACAGCAGCCACAACACTGCAGTGAGTGATGTGAGTGAGTTGGGTTTAACGCCGCTTTTAACAGTATTCCAGTTATATCACGGCGTGTCAGCTAAATGTGGGAGGAAAGCCCGAAGTAATGCCGATCTAAGACGTTTACCACTTCGGTGAAACCCATGCACGGGTTTTGTGCTGACAAACCAAGAAACATAATCGGGGCGAACCGGGATTCGAACCCATAATCGTAGGTGTCTGGCGTGCCCAAGGGACGCAACTCTGCAATGCGAATTGCGGCGCCTTAGACGACTGGGCCACCCGTGCTCTCCACAACACTGCAGATATTTCACAGCATTAATTGAGAAACACAACCCGTGAAGTCTGGGTTTAGAATTGGGCAACCCATGCTTGTCATAAGACGCGACTAACGGGTTCGGGTGGTCAGGTTCAGTGACTTGTTTGAATGCACGTTATCATACCCTGACAGCGTGGGCTTTGCTCATAATATCAACCACTGGTTTGTCTGGCCATCATTTACAGGCAGCCGGGACATAGCTGGAAGATTGCTAAGTGCGGTGTAAAACAACACACAAGGTGTGGTGAAATGGGTTTTTTAACGTCGCGTTGAAGGTTATTGCACTTATGTTGTGACGTGCATGCACGTGTGTGTGTGTAGCTGCTTGTACTAGTCCGGACTGATGCTGATTTATGGTGCTAGCACACTGAGACACCATGCAACAGTTTAACATGAATACCCCACTCAGATACAGTATACTGACTCCGAGCCGACCGGTCCTTGTTATTGCCCCTTAATGCCGAGCGCCAGACAGGGCAACAACAAGTACCATCTTTTTGGTATGGCGCGGCCGGGGATAGAACCCCGGACCTTCCGCTCTCCGGGCGGACGCTCTACCCCTAGGCCACGGAGCCTATGCACCCCTCGCCTGGCGACGTCAGTTGACCACATATAGTCTCCTACCTGAGCTGAGACAGTGTTGATACTCAGGGGAGTGTACAGCGATCACGAAGTCGTCCGCCCTGTGAACGTTCTCTTTATACCCTGAAACAAGTGTAAGTGAGTGAGTGAGTTGGGTTTAACGACGATTTCACAAATATTTCTCTTACATCATTTTCACAGAATACTTGTGCCGTCAAGGAACACCAGAAACAATGCACAAGCCCCTATTTGTGTAAGACACCTTTCTCACTAAAAGACACAAGTCGCACTGAAAAGTCTTTGTTTGTTTGTTTGTTGTTTAACGCCGCACTTAGCAATATTCCAGCTTTATGACGGCGGTCTGTAAATAATCGTGTATGGACCAGACAATCCAGTGAGTGACATCATGAGCATCGATCCACGCAATTGGGACACGATGACATGCTTCAACCAATCAGCAAGCCTGACCACCCGATCCCGTGAGTCGCCTCTTACGACAAGCATAGTCACCTTTACGGCAAGAATGGGTTGCTGAAGACCTAGTCTAACCCGGGTCTTCACGGGTCTGCACTATAAAGAGATAAGTAAGGTTTTTTGAAAAAAGGGGCCGAAAATAATATTGTCTCAGGTTTTACAAAAAACAATTTTCGCTGATCCTGAAAAAAAAAGTGTTGTCACACTCACTTATTAAATATGTATAAAAAAAAATTCCAAAAAAGTCGAAATCTTTCCTGACATCGCTTAGATTATTATTTTGGTTATGATTTATATAAGCATAATCAAGTACCAATACTTATAGGTACAGAGTGTAGAATAGACCGCACCCTGTCAGTTCACATTCTCAGTCTACCATATATTTCCTCACAAAGAGCCATTCACAGTTTTATTATCATCAAATATTGAATTACGGTCAGATGAAACGTTCTTGGCTGCTACCCGGCAAGCAAAATATGACCCTATTATTTACTTGTTATCGCCACACGCTGTACAAACAGGCCACAGTAACCAGGCGTTCTGCAGCCGCTCATCAAAAGGGATGAGTCAGTGAGTGAGCGAGGGAACGGTGTTTACGTATGGAGAAACCATTACACCGCAGGAATGGTATGTCCAACTTATAAACCGCTATCCATTAATCTATGTCATTTTTGGAGCTTATATTTACGCGGTATACGGGTCGCAAATAAGCGCGGTATAACAGTTGTTATCGCGGCCCGCTGCGCGGACTGCACGTGCAGAAGAGGGCTGTACGTGCAGATAGAACCGCGTGCGTCGTACCACATGGCATTGTGTCGTTGACTGTTCACAAGAGAGGATGTCTGACGATGACGATATTTTCCTTACTCAAAGTAAGTTAATTGATGAAAATTCAGCAGAAAAGGATGAGGATGACTTTTGTTTCCGTTTTGGTGACCTTTGTCAGGTTTTACAATTGCTCCCCAGGTTTTACAATTGCAATTGTAAAACCTGGGGAGCAATTGTAAAACCTGAGGAGCAATTGTAAAACCTGCTGAGAGGTCTTACTACAAAAGAAAGGTCGTCTGGGAGATGGTTACAACACCATGATAGGTTTACAAGTCATTGTAAACACTCCAGCTGTATCTCGGCGGCCTAGGTCTCCGTCAACAACATTACCTTGGCAACTCCCATACGTTAAGAGATACTTACCATCGTCGCTGCACTAAACGCTTTGAACGAGGCCGTGGCGCTGTTGAACAAAGCGATCTTAGCGCTAAGGTGATCGTAACTCCCATACTTTCTCATACTTAACGATAGTCGCTGCACTAAGCTCTTTGAAGGAGGCTTGGGTGCCGTTTAATAGAGCGCTGTGACTGTCGTAAACCAGTGTTAAAGTAGTGGAGTTACGATCATTTTAGCGCTAAGATTGCTTTGTTGAACCGCGCCACGGCCTCGTTCGAAGCGATATGTACTTAACCGTGCCGTACTGAGCGCATGGGGACTCGTTTCTCAAAGTGAGTGAGTGGGTATGGTTTTACGCCGCTTTTAGCTAAAAGCGGCGTAAAACCATACTCACTCACTCACACATATAGCTGGAATATTGTTGAGAACGGCGTTCAACAAGAAAAAAAAACATTCTTCCTTCAAACGAGTGAGTGCGGTTCAGAGTCGCTTTTCGCCTTCTTACATCCCAGAGTAGATAGGACTGGCTAAGAAAGGAACTAAAATTGACACATTATCCATGTTGGGAATTGAACCTGTGTCTCCGTCTGGCGAGCGAAGTGCGTGCAGTTCAACACGGAACATTTTCTTATCAATCCTGATAAGGTGCAGGGTTTTCCAAAATGAAGCTGTGGTCAATAAGGATTACGTAATTTATGAATATTACTCCGGATAGCAGCGCTATAAGGAGGTCAGTTGACCTGGCTGGTATGACCCCTCTGCGCTTAGAGTCAGGTGGTCAGTTGATTAGAGAGCTTCCACAAGATACTGTTGATAAGTTATTTGCAGTGTCTTTTCTGTACATTAAACTCACAAAAACTTAACAGTGTAAGGGCATAATAAACTAATTATATGATAATCATCCAGACTTATCATCCAAAAACAGTGCAGTTCACCTTGACATGAAGTTAACAGCTTACAACACCAGCAAATACAGAAACATAGAAAAGGACTGAAAACCAACACTAAAAATTTAATAATTTGAACAAAATACCATACCATCATAACGCGAAACATACATACCAAAGTTCAGCTCCCTCAGTTTGGTAATTTCAATAGAGAAGAAATTGACAGAGCCAAATTTTGAGAAGAGCATGGTCAAAAGAAAGAAAAAAATGAAAATACTGCCCAAACCGGAATATGCATGTTGATTCCCAACACGAACGATCCACAAATAGCGAGTGAATGTTATCGTACAAACAGGGAACGTGAAAATCATTGCGAGGGATCGCAATAATGTATTTTCTTACCATAAGTACGTAGATATGTACATAAAATATTGAAGTATATATAAAACTGCTGATAGATACGTTCAACACTGATTACTGTCATACACTGGTTTCTTCTCATATATAGCTAGGGGCATGATAGTGTATTCATTACACCGTATCGATTATATATCAGTTTGCGAAAAACAGAATGATTGAACTGAGCTGATTAATACTGTGAGTAGGTCACTTTATATCGAACCGATGAAACGAACTGGTTAGAATATTTCCGACGACGCCATAGCTGATCGTATATGACTTGGCACGGATCGTTCTTCGTTTGTTCAGTCAAGGATTTGTTTGTTTGTTGTGTTTAACGCCGCACTCAGCCATATTCCAGCTATATGACGGCGGTCTGTAAAATAATCGAGTCTGGACCAGACAATCCAGTGATTGACATCACGAGCATCGATCCACGCAATTGGGATACGATGACATGCTTCAACCAAGTCAGCGAGTCTGACTACCCGATCCCGTTAGTCGCCTCTTACGACAAGCATATTCACCTTTTACGGCAAGCATGGGTTGCTGAAGACCTATTCTACCCCGGATATTAACGGGTCGTTCAGTCTATGAAGTGCCCGGTCCACACTCGATGACGTACAGCGGCCGAATAATGCTGGACTTTGCGGCGTAAAGCTCCATTCACTCATCAATCTGTAGCTCTCATCAATCCGCGTCTGTCTGGCGTGCGGAAGATTGGTGCTTCGATCAACGCCCACGTCATACCAACATTGAATGATTGAGTACGGTTTTACGCCGCTTTTAGGAATATTCCAGCAATATCAAGCGAGGTACACCAGAAATGGGCTTCACACATTGTACCCATGTCGGGAATCGAACCCAATTATACAGGATGATGTTCATTTCAATTTCTCACTGGAGCGACGGGATGTTAGTTTGAGCTCAGCATTATCTGTTTTAATGTTTAGGATCTCAATTATTTCATCCACAACGGACAGGTTCACATCATTTTATTTTTTCCGTGGAACATGATAAGCTTTATATTTATTGTAGAAACAATACACACACCCTCCAAAAAGAAAAATCAATTGAAAAATTGTTTAGACAAAGAATGTGATTTTTTAATGACGTCATAGCTGAAATGGATTGATAACAAGTCTCCGTCGCCACACGTGCAGCTATTGCACGCCATGGGAATTCCGTGCAAAAAAAGCTCTGGGGTGTTCAGCACTGCCGCAGAAGACGTTTGTTGATAGAACCCATTATCAGATCGCTGGAAGATGGTTGTTCTAGGCAAGGCACAGCAAACGCCAGACTCGGGAAGAATGCCAGAAAACCAGTCGAGGAAATGAAACGTAATTGGCTGAGAGTAGAGGCCATTCTGTCGTAATGTGATTACATAGAGAAATCAATATTGTGCTGAATGTGTTGACAGCCGTGATTGGGACTAGAATACCTGTTAAGCATGTCGAGTTGGGAACGGAGAATTGGAGGTATGGCTTCCTCGATCATCCAGTGTATTATAAACCCATTGTTTCAGGAAAGATTACACAATTAAGGATTCACTGTATATTTTTTTCGGTTTATTGAGGTATGAATCGAAAAACCGATGTGCAAACCGTATGAATCCGCGAAGCGGATTCTTACAAAAGTTTGCATATCAGTTTTTCGATTCATACCTCAATGAACCGAATAAAATACACAGTCCATGCTTATAATTAAATTTGACAACGTAAAACATGTTTTATCGACAATAGTTTAACCAAAAACAGTTGTATATATCAGAACAGACAAAAATGACGAGATTCATAAACATTCCAGGGGTAGGAATACATACTGTGGCGTGACATGAATCAGGTGATCGTTTAATTCATGCACAAAACTTGACACGCCTTCACAGTCAGTAGCCAATCAACGGAGAGTAGGATCAAAACAATGTTCATTGGACCTGTCAATTAAGGTAAGCGGCGAAAAGAACTGCAACAGTCAGACTGTAACGAACCGGAAGAAATATGTCCGGGAGAAGGCGGCTGTTTCGAATAACATGGTCAGTTACCGCCAGATTCAAACATAATTCCCGGATTACGGTAAAACACAGTTGGAACAATGCTAGTAAGAAATGAAACCCCAAGACATGAAAGTTGAACCGAGGCGAGCGAGAAAAAAACAGGCGAGCGAGCCTGCGCGTTTGCTGTTTCCTTCATTCTCGGCCTT